AGGCTCGGAAGTTTAGGGACTGCTCTGCACCGTGACGCCTCTGACACTACGCTGTACCCCCAGTGCTGAATTGCCCAATAAAATATATTATGTGTGCATGTATTTTTTCTTTTTTTCTTCCTTTATAGGCGATATTTTAAACCTGCAGGTCTATTACCCTTGGGAGTTCCTTCCCAGCTCTCCTTGCAGATCAGTTGTTTTCCCGTTAATGACATCTGGTGTTACCTACTGGGTGATGAAGTCTTTGCGGCAGCTGGACGTGTGTTCAAGTTGCATCAACAGCTACACCCTTCTTGTGTCGCCCCGCCTTCTCTTTACGATGCTTTCTTTCATACTTGACTATAGCGTTTATCGATTAGCTCCTTGCTGGGAAGCGGATCCCTGGAAAGCGCTGGTACTTCTTGCCGGATCGTACGTCACTCTGGTATTTTATACACGAACGTTTACCAACACACTCGAAGGACTCCTCTTTGCTCTCCTGATGGTCTTGGTTTCCTCAAGAAAGTCTGGTGGCAGCTTAGCAGAGCCTACAAGCGGCCCTCTCATAGGTATTGTAACGACTGCCGGGTTTTTTAACAGGCCAACGTTTTTGGCATTTGCTCTGATGCCCCTGCTTTACTGGGCAGGCTTAATTGTTGACTCTCAAAAGGGCATTAAAACTGTTATAAACCACTTTTTGAAGCTTGTCCTATGCGCGTGTTTTACTGCCGTTGTTTTCATAACAGCCGACACCTTCTATTTTACCTCCACGGGCTTAGACCACCTCTACAGCATTAAAAAGAGCAGCGTACTTGATGTCATAGCTCACTTGAATGAGAAGATGATAGTAACCCCTTTCAACTTTCTCAGCTATAATCTGAATCCTCATAATCTTGCACTGCATGGAAGTCACCCACGAGTTACACATTTTACAGTCAACGGAATAATGCTCTTTGGGATCTTACATATTCTGGCCATCGGTGCTGGTTTTAAAATGTTGAAGAAATATATCTATCAATTATTTTGGGTCAAATCATATTGCCATGGGTCATCTGGGCTATCGGTGCGTTCTGAGGGCAGTCCGACATTACTGCTGTTTTATTTTGTTCCCTTGTCATTCCTCTCCCTGTTCACTCACCAAGAACCTCGCTTTCTCATTCCTCTCATTGTGCCGTTAGTCCTGTTCAGCACATCACAGAGCAGAGCTGTGAAGTGGAAACCCATCATTATTCTTTTCAATGTTCTTGGGGCTCTGCTGTTTGGGTGCTTACACCAGGGAGGACTGATACCATGTTTGCTTCGCTTGGAGCAACTCATGCGTTCTCCGGAGCCCTCCAGCCACCCAAGGCACTATACTCTGCTCTTTGCTCACACCTACATGCCTCCGAGGTCTCTGCTTAATATCCAGAAGAGAGACACACATATAGAAGTCATTGACATGGCTGGGTCGGAAGAAGAAACCCTCTGCCAAACAGTAGAGCAGCGAGCAAACAATTCTACCTGCAACGACCGTCACGTTTTCATTATAATCCCTGGTACGGTCAGAGCCACAATTACAAAATGTGCTGTCTCGTTCAAGAACGAGACTTTGATATTTCCACACTTGTCAATGGAAGACCCACCACAAATACCCTTCCTATTCAGTGGAAGTTGGAGAAGTCAGTTAGGACTCTACATCCTTCAGCTAGACAGAGATCAGCAGAGCCTCTAGGTTTTAGGAGAACCATGTTTTAGTTTTTCACTGCACTCGGGCGCTGCCCAAACGTACTGCAAGACCTTCCTCTTCACAGACCCACCTTCAGCACAAGCAGTGGCACGGGGAGCTCCCCCAAGTCTCTTTATTCCCTTTCTTCACGCTCTTACACTCACCAGTATAGCCAGTTCTGGCTAGAACCCACTTAAAATTTGTGTTATTCAGCCCCTACAGTGTTTTGTATGCACTTGTGTGATCTTCCTGATGAGAGGGGATGAAGTCAGAGCCCACCAAAACTGTGATTCAAGCTTAGCTCTTTCCATGTGAGATTTAGTTTTGAAAGTTCTTATAATCTCTGACAGAGCATTTGTGGATTGTGTGGTACAGATAATGGGCATTAACTCAGCTGCTGGAGAGAGATTACAGGGCTCGGCAAAAGCTGGTCTGACTCAGTAAGGTTTTATTTTTATGCTCTTAAAAAATTCGGAGCCTCCTCTCAGTCACTGGACCCAACTGCAGTCGCAATACAGGCACCAGCACTGTAATGGTGTCTTGGGTGGTTCCGTCTTGAAAAATCCCCAGCACTGATCTTACAGAATCAGATTCAGAACATGGAAGATGCCTCAGCGTAAGGACTTGTGCTAAATCCTAAAAATCCAAGCTTTGCCTGTCCAGCATTTCTTGCCACAGATTCATTCCTGTGGACGCGCTACCCATGGGTTACATCCAGCAGTTTAGGAACGCTGCCTTTTAATGTCGTTCAGCCCGTCTGTTGTTTAGCTACTGCAAACGGGGCAGTGCTTCCCGCGCGCACTGCTGCTGCACGTCTCACAGCTTTCATCGCTCCGTCACAGCTCTAGCACCGGCAGGCCCTGCAGTGAGCTGATTCGAGGAGCTGCGCAGGCAGAAAACAGGGAGCTCGGTGGGATTTGATCCATGGATCTCTGAACTGGCTTACCACTGGGTTAGAGATCGACCAGTTCTGCTGCAGGGGAGCATGTGAGGATCCGAGGGGGCAGCCGCATCCCCTGCACCCCCCTCCTCTTCCAGTAACCGCTCCCCATTAAACCAGCTTGGTGAGAATGACAGATCACATCCTGGCTCTCTACTGGAGAGCAGTCTCATTTTAAATGGGGATACAGATAACCCCAAGCTTCAGCTGAGAATGATGTGTATGCTGAATAGTATAGCACCGCTAACAGTTTTGGGGTTTGCCTGTGTGAACTTTTGGATCCAAACCATCCCCACACAGAGGGAAATACTTAGCACATGCGTTGTACATCAAGCCTCTCTGAAATGAATCCAACACTTGAATTCTTTCTGCTCGCAAAGGCAGTAATGCTTTTCGCACTTCTTCATCCACACAGCTTTACATAAGGTCTTATGAGCCAGTTTTTCAAGGCAGTATAGGTTGATCCCAGGCTCTAAAGGGAAGGTAGGAAAAATCCCTGTGTGAAGGATTTGCCTCTATCTCCCACACTAAACATACAATCTAGACTTTTAAGGAACATAGCTCTTGCTCACTTGTAAAGCATTTTGTGTTGTCTCCCCTCCATGTTCATCCCACATCCTTCATCCCTCATTATTAACAGGCCTGTGAATTAAAGGTGCGTGTTTTGGGGGGAGGTTGGGGAAGAGGGGGTGCATGTTTGTACTGATGACTCACCAAGTAGTGGAAGTAGTTATGAAAGCATCATGACATCAAATGTATTTTCCAAGTTAAATTTCCTTTTTGCTCTCTTACACTGGGACAACTGCGTGCCACAGCTGGTGTTCCATGTCCTGCTTGCTGTTTTCAGCTTTCTTAAACAGCTTCTTTTAAATTTTGAAAGTTATTTTCATAAAACTTGTGATCTCTGGCAATCTCAGCGGGGGAGATCTTGAAACTCTTCAGGGATGCGATGGAGCACCACTCCCATAGCACGATGGCTTCTCTACCGCTGCACAGGTAACCTGTGGTAGAGTCAGGAAGAGAACCTGGACTACAAATACTAACTGAAACTGAAAATACACTGCTTTTGTGCCACCAGCTAGACCTTTATCATTTACACCACAGATCCATTTTTTCCACCCATGCACACCGAAGTCTTTGTTGGCGGGAGGTTTAATTTTACCAGCAATGTTGGAAACTCTATCTCAGACAGTTTGCGAGGTTCTTTTCACCTGGGGTGATGCAAAAAGTGGAAATCATCCTCCCTGGTTAACTAAGCATCTAGTCAGCTGAGCAGTGCAACGTGCCGTGAAGGAAGGTTAAGTACTTCAGTCCCAAATGTTGTCAGACACAGCAACTCGAGTAAACCAGCCCTGTGCGTTACGTATGGTAGAGACATCTTTTCCCACATTTATAGTTAGGATGGCTCTATTGATCTTTGTTTTACCCTAAACCCTTCTTGCTACCATAGACTTCAGGTGTGCTTTCAGGATAGCTACCGAATCTCTTTTGCCTACCTGTAAAATCGGCGGTTATCCTACCCATCACCATCGACATTTAGAGCTCTCTTTGTACCGCAGTTGCAATATAAATGTGGAGTATTACTGCTGTGTAGACAAAAATTGCCACAGGAACTCCAGTGACAAGTTTGTTTTTATTCCAAGCTTCTCCCCCAGCACCTGAAGCGACGATCCCGACAGTCTGTTCTGGGCGGTGGGTAACGCGACCCGGCCCGCTG